TTTTTTTGGATCTTACCGAATGGATGAAAATTGGGGATCACTTCATCGTTGACACTGGGATTCTGCGTGAGGGTAGTGGCTTACTAGCTAGGGGAGTATATAGAAGTAGGCATAAACCAGGCGCACTCGGTTTACTATCCGCAGTGGGAGGCAAGTGGTATAGGGGGAGTGAGAGTGTCCAGGTCTAGAAGGACCTAGGGTCCGTCCTACCGCAATAGGTAGGTGTTTTCGGGGATGTTACCCCGGTGATAGCTGGGTAGGAGGATGGGCTGGGTAGAAGGGGGTGAGGGGACGTGAGTAAGGGAGAGGTAGTAAGGTAGCTTAAGAATGCAATCAGAGTTTGGTTCAGGTCAATTGTTACTGTTTTTCGAGCCAGGAGCCTGGTTACTGTCTGGTCGGTGATGGATATTAGTAAGCTTCAGGAGCTGAGTTGTTGAGGGTCAAGCCTCACGATATGAAGCTGAACACTGGTTCAGCACGAAATTTTGTTTGATCCGGGTTGTTTGTGAGGAATTCCCGGCCTCAAAGGTTTTTATATAATTTGAATTCCTTGCTTTTCCCAAAAAATAAATAAATGGGGATCACTCATTGCTACATCCGTTAAAATTGGAACGATACAGAGAAGATTAGCATGGCCCCTGCGCAAGGATGACACGCATCAATCGAGAAATGGTCCATTTCCTCCCCCGGTCAGATTTTTACATCCTAGGCCTGTATTGCCCGCGGGCCCTTTTTTTTTTCTTTTTTTTTTTTAACGAGGAAAACTCAGCTGATTGGATTACGCACACCGAAGGAGACCCCGGGAATCCTCTACAAACAACGGGGGAAGTTATAGAAACGACAAGTGTACGCGTCGGGGTGAAATCTAGCGACAGAAATTGGTCATTGACAGAAATTGGCCAACACCATGACCGCTGTCCTGTCCTGATACCCGCCGACCCTGGTCGCGGGCCCTTCCTTGCCAAAGCCGAAAACTTTGGGTGCAAAAAAGCCAAAAAAGTTTCAGCGTCGGCTCTATCTACCAATTCCCCCCCTTCCCCTTACATTTCCTCCCCCGTCCCTTACTTATTCACATCTCTCTTAGTTGTGAACTCATTTGCTGATGGGCTTAGCGTCTGGGACCTTATTCAAATCATCCTTTTTGACAAATTGATCCATAATAAAACTTGAAGAAGACTCTATTTCTTTCTTTTCCTTACTTGATATAGAATGGGCTATATTTCCCTAGGATGTCCAGTTGTACCCCCAAGGAGTAAGGGGTCTTTTTCTTCCAATGGATGTACGAGTCTACGAGAAATAGAATGCTAGAATTCATATAGCTATCATATAGCTATCTATATGAATTCTAAACATTCTAAATAGTTGCTATACTATTCTAATGATAAATATTGAAGAAAATTTTAATTGTATTCTTATAATTTTTATTCTTATAACTTCAAAGGGTGATGTCCTACTTTTGTCATTTTCGCGTGTAGAAAGTTTGGTCGAAGTTTCATCAGCCAGGTTCGTCGTAGCTCAGCAGCCACCAGGTTGGTGGCAGCTCAGCAGAGTCAGCAGCCACCGTTTTATAATGTAAAACTGGAAATCCATTACGATCAAGTTCGGGTGCGGAAAACCGACAAGATTTCCGCTTGGGCTCTATCTACCAATTCCCCCCCTGCATTTCCTCCCCCGTCCCTTATATATTTTCACTTCTCTCTTACTTGTGAACTCATTTGCTGAACGGCTTAGCATCTGGGACCTTATTGGAAGGGCGATGTCCGCCTACTTGTGGCATTTTCGAGGGTAGAAAAGATTGATCCGCCATCATGTGCGTCGTAGCTCAGCTGTGACCGTTTTATAATGTAGCCCAGCAAAATTGACTGAGATTACTTGTCAGTTTTACTAGTTGTGAGTACAGATCTGCATGCTCCTCAATCGATAAGGAAACCTATCAGTACGCACCAATCGGCACTGTCGTCAATTGTGGTTGTGTTTGGAACCATCCCTCACATCAGACAACCATGGCGGTGGTGTGTCTGATCCCTCATTGGTCCCATCGTCTCGTCTGGATCTGTTTTGGTGCATTTCACTTTCTTTGAGAATTCGTGTTGGGATAAGTTGAAAGAAGGGGCAAATTGGCAGAGATATGGCCCATGCGAAAACCTTTTTGGTTGTCTCTACTCGAACGTTTCCCGTTTGGCACGAAAGGCAATACAGGCCATCCGCTGTCAAAATCTGGCGGCCGAGATTGGGTCCCGACCGTTTGTTTGTCAATAGACAGCAAGTAAGCAGAGCCAACTGGACGGACGACTCCAATCAACGGAGACAAGAAGACAGAGAATGGGAGGAGGAGGAGGAGGAAGAAGGAAGAGGTTAAAAAACAGAACATG